GGCCGTAACGTGTGCGAAGGTCTGCCGAGGTGGCGGAGGGGGTGCAGTCTGTGCCTTTCTAGGCATACAGAGCGGCAAGGCCTCATCATCCCTCTTCTTTTCCTCGCATCTCTTTTGCATCAGTGTCAGAGCCGAGCCAAAAATGCCCTCTGCATCCAGGATGGCTTCTTTTTCCCTGTCAGAGAGATTCGCCAAGTTAAGCCAACGTCCTCTCTCTTGAATGACCATTGTGGCCATGGCCTTGCCCCGCTTGAACCGCGCATCTCTGAAGACGCAGAGACAGATCCGTAACGACACAGATCTCTTCCCAGTGTGTCTGACCTGGCATGGTCAACGCTTCGTCCTGCAATTCCGCTTGGTACGCGGTCAGCATAGACAGAGAGAGTAACTGCTTTATAAGCGTGTTTCATCATGCTTGACAGGAAATGGTCCGCTTTGGATGGCAACGTCGGATTTGCAGCCACCGTGTGCTTTGGGTGCAAGTGCACGGCAACTAATGGCTCCATGGGGGGCATTCGGAGAAGTCCTACCTTCTCCATTCCCTCCACATCGAGAGCGGATTCTCCCTGCACGGGCATCTTGCTGGTGAACGGTTTGTCCTTCCAGGTCACCGCAACCTCCTCCAGGAGCTCTGGAAACTCACGAAGGAGCTGCCGTGCTACCCGTTTCGCTCTCGGCAGCCTCTTACCCTCGTAGCAAGACTTTACAGTCTCTGCTACCACGGTCGGCCACTGAATGTTTAGTTTCTGGGGGGAGGAACGGGGAGTCCTCGAAATCTTCCTCTTCTTCAGAGAGGAGAAAGTCTGATTGTCCCTCTTCCTCGTCCGTGCTGAGCACACTGGGCAGAGGGACGCAAACGTCAAGCTGTTCACCCCAGGATAAAGCTGCCGTGGTGGGCAGCTCTACAGGGATGGGTACCTGCGGAGTGGCAGCTGGAACGGGGCTAGGTGACATGAGGGGATCGTGGCCTGACAGGCTAGCTTTGCGTGCTAGTCTGCGACGAAGGCTCTTCACAGTGAAGCGTGCGCAGTGTTCACAGGAACCGGGGTTCTCGATCGCCAATTGGGCATGTTTCAGCCCAAGACATGCAGAGCAGACCTGGTGTGTGTCCTTGCATGAAATCTTGTTCCCGCATGAACAAAGTCGCACGGCATCTCCCTCACTAGCCGGGACAGTCTGCATTGCTGCAGCCATCGTAATATCGAACAGTCCTTGCAATCGGCTGGAATGCAAATTGAAGGAGTCAGGCGAAAAACGGCGTGGAGGCCAGTTGTTCGTCCAGGAGTTTGTTAAAGGTTTATCTATTTGTAGGCTTCTGGTGTGAAGCGAGAAGAGGTTTTTGAATGTCGCAGTGACGTTGTGTCACTCCCTTTATACTGAGGGGTGGGGAGGCCACTCCCAGACACAACGTCACGTCTGCCAGCCAATTGGGGCTGGCATAATGTAATAGGGCTTCTGAGGAACACGCAGAAGGGGCGTATCCCATAGTGAGACAACGAAACTTATGCTTGAAAGAGAACATCTGTCTACCAGGGTCCCATTGACACATTAAATTATTTAGTAAATGACATGTTAGGATTGTATTGTGTTTTGTGCCTGTAATTGTGATCTTCCATTACAACATTTAAAAAAAAAATTTTTTTTATTTGTTTACCATTCAATGTAAAATGTCTTTGCAATCCTGGCTTTGAGGTAAATCTTGGAAAAAATGTTTCTAAATATCTGCACTAAGAAACTATTGTATACAGCATAATTATTTTTATGTTTTAGCAGCTCACCATCAAACAGTTTGCTTTAGTTTTGGCTGTGTGTTATGGATGGTTTAATGTATGTATCAAATGCAGATGAGATAATTATTTTGGAATTATTGCATGTGTGCCATATGTAATGTAGGTGAGCCAAAGCTAGGATTTGTGTACAGCTGTGTGTTTGTCCACTTATAGAGCAGTACTGCAGCAGTTGTTGATGAACAACTAACATTTATAAAGCCTAGTAATTGCACACAAGGTGCAATTGTATGTTTTGTGCTGGAGTACTTATGCTCTCCTTATGTATTGCTAAATTTATTCTACAGTTTTCTTTGTCACCCACAATACAAGCCCTGTAAATACATTGCCAGCGTTGAATGTTTCATCTATATGCAGTGTTATATTCATATTGGGCATTCTGTTGTACAGATGAATACATTTAGACCACTTAACCTAATGATTGCTATCGGGATGTGAAGAGACTTTTAACCAGCATAACAAAAAATGTTTCTGAAGACGATCACCTATTACACCTTTAAGTACAGTGGAGTGCGCATTCTGTGAGACTTGCATAAACACACAGGTCCAACAATATATTATTTTTATGGATCAATGTGTCCACTACCTTTCTTTATTAACACTTTTGTAAGTCTGTTGTTGACAGCATACAATTGAAGCAATCCCAAATGATGACCAGAGGCCTCATTTATAAAATATACATATGCACTGATTTGATCTTAGAGTTTGAGTGCGCTAAAATCCCTGCCTTTAACATAGTATTTAGCAGAAAAGAACTTAGTGCCAACTCAGGTTCAAAACAGTCGTACACCTTGTGGCAGAGTTGGAGTACTGCATGTATTTGAAAATTAAGTAATTCTTGCCACTTTTTTATTTATTGAAGTAAAATAAATGATTTTATTTATATTTTATTTAATAAACAGTATAAACTTTGCTAAAGGGATTGTTTTGAACAAGTATGAACTTATTTAAATAAATATATATATAAGGGTATGAATATATATATACATATATATATATATATA